AGAGAGAGAGAGAGAGAGAGAGAGAGAGAGAGAGAGAGAGAGAGAGAGAGAGCCAGGAGTGGAAGAGGAGGAGGAGGAGGAAGCCGAGGTGTTACAAAAAAGGAGAGCTTTCCCCATTCTTCCACCCCTTCTCTTTTTTTTTAACTTCCTCCCACTCCATTCAGGTGCAGCTGAGGAAAAGGACGAGGAGGGGAAAACAGGAAGTGTGTGTGTGTGTGTGTGTGTGTGTGTATGACAGAGAGAGAGAGAGAGAGAGCCAGGAGGGGAAGAGGAGGAGGAAGCTGAGGTTTTACAAAAAAGGAGAGCTTCCACCTTTCTCTTTTTTATTAATGTGTGTGTGTGTGTGTGTGTGAGAGAGAGAGAGAGAGAGAGAGAGAGAGAGAGAGAGAGAGCAGGGAGAGCAGGGAGAGCAGGGAGTTGCAGAGTAAGCACACTTACAAAAAGGGGATCTCTGTCTCTCATACACATACACGGAAACGTGGTGTGCAGGCAGGCGAGAGAGCAAACTTGCAGATTAGCTTTGTGGTCTATTCTTGCCTCCTCCCCTCCCTAAAATCCAGGCAATAATAAAACTCTTCGGACTGAATGGGAAGTTAGGAATTGGTGTGAGTTGAAATTAAAAGGCCGAGTCAACTCCCCCCCCCCCCAATTATTTTGTCGGAGACAAAAATACTTCCCTTCATTTGCTCTTTTATAATTTAATCCAGCCTTACCCAAACTAATATATTTTGGATGTCATGAACCACAGTTCCCATCATCCTGTGGCTATGTTGGCTAGAAATGCAATGCCTTATTTTCTCTGCGCCTAGGAGGCAGGAGGTCTGTGGGATTTAGATGTATTTAAACATTTGTTTCTTCTGCCTAATTTATTAAATCAACATCTAATTTGAAATTAAAAGTTTCTGAGAAATCCAGGGTGGTTTACAAGAAAACTCTCAAAGACAGCTATTGTAAAGCATCACTAGCACTGCTTAAAACAATATTAAAAGTGTTCATTTTAAGAAAGAAAAATAGTAGTAGTAATTTACTTAGTGCTGTTTGACCATAAAATGTGTTGTTGTTTTACATATGCCTGGCTGAACAGTGTGTTTGGAGTTGCCTCTAAATGGGGGAGGGTTGCATTGTTCATATTTTCCTTGGGAAAAAGTTCTATAATGGGGGTGCTGTGTCTGAGAAGGCTCTGCTTGTGGCCACTGTTCTATAAACCAAACCAGGGGGACCATCTGGTCTAAATGGATGGTAAACATAGATGATTAGGGGCCTGGAGGCTAAAACATATGACAGATGTTTGTGGGAATTGGGTATGTCTAGCTTACTGAAAAGGACTAGGGGTAGTGACATGATAGCAGTGTTCCAATATTTGATGGGCTGCCACAGAGAAGAAGGGGTCAACCTATTTTCCAAAGCATCGGAAGGCAAATAATAGATGGAAACTAATCAAGAAGAAAACCAGCCTAGAACTAAGGACTTGTGAAAACAACTACCCAGTGAAAAGGCTTGCCTTCAGAAGTTGTGGATGCTCCATCACTGGAGGCTTTTAAGCAGAGATTGGATATTCCATTGTCTGGAATGGTATACGTCCCCTGCTTGAGCAGGAGCTTGGACTACAAGACCTCAAAGGTCTCTTCCAACTCTTATTCTTTGAGAGAAGTGCTGCCAACCTCTCCCCCTCCCCTTCCTGGGCACAGAGAGAAGGAGGGAAGGAAGGAGGGGAGGCAGGAAGAAAGGAAGGGAAGGAAGAAGGAGATGGGAATGAAAAGGAGGGAGGCAGGGAGGAAGGAAGGAAAGAAGGAAAAGAGAAAGAAGGAAGGAAAGGAAGAAAGAGAAAGAAAGAAAGAAAGAAAGAAAGGAGAGAAGGGAGGAAGGAAAGAAGGAAGGAAAGAAAGAGATTGGAATAAGAGGGAAGGAGGGAGGGTCTGAGGGAAGTCCTGCTTTAGCACTTGGCCACCAGCAGCCCTGTTGCCCTTTTGCCTTCCCCTAGTAGTCTCCCATCCTATTGCTGAGGATGCTTTGGTTACAAAGCCAGGTTTCCTCGCATGGAGAGGGAGTGGGCCTCCCTCTGACCCACACACTTTGTCCTCCTGCACCCACCATGAGCAACCTGGCCAAGGAGAGTGAGCACAGCAGCAGCAGCATTGAGGAGGAGGTAAGTGCAGCTGGGCACCCCCTCGGGGAAGTGCGGCTAGGCTAGGCAGGGATGTGGGATCCTGGTGCCCGTGGGAGTTCAAGGGCCGGGCTGGGTGCTTGACCTCCGCTGCCCAGGGCTCTGGGCAGTCCATGCCACTGTCCAGGGGCCCCATGCGTAGCCTGAGGCTCAGTGAGGCTCCTCCAGTGGACCATGCCCCCTGTTCCACCCACTCTTCCCCACCCTCGGATGCGCCCCAGTCCTGCCCAGTGCCCCTGACGTGAGTGACATGGAGCTGGCCACGCCCACCCAGT